CTTTTGGCAAAGGTTTGTTAAATAGATTTCAATAAAAATTGCAAATCATTTAAAAAGGTTTCGTTCGTAAAAGGGGCGCGTGCTTTCAGACTAAAGAGTCATGGGATAAAGTGTGAATTTATTTTAGGTCTAATTATGGCTGAATCTTTTATGTATTAAATGCAGAATTATTTCCGTATGAAGACGTGTGTGCAACTCAGCGAAATAGTAAACAATTGTGGAGTTTTGGATCTAAGCTATATAGATCACTTGTGACTCTGATTAAAAATGTATATATACATATAATTATAACTATGGATAATATTTGTAATATATTTATAATAAGAGTGTTATAGATATACCCCCTTATTCATAAACACAATTTTATTTTATAAACGATTTATAAATCAAATTTCCTATGGAAATTTTGTTTTATAAACCTTTAATAAAATAAAATGTTGTTTATGAATAAGGGGGTTAATGTTTGTCTTATTACTTTGATTTACAAACGGCTTTGCTGACAATAAGGTGACTTTATGTAAGAATGTTATATATGGGATATAGGGGTCGTTTATGGACTAATTCTTTTAAGGTTTGACAGGAATATTTGGGTTCATATAGAACTTCTTCAATACAAATTTTATCATTTTACTGGAGGCCTTATATTGGAGCTCAAATACATCGCTACTCAGGAATTTCCTAAAGAGGTTTGGGTTCCTCTAAAACTTGTTTATGTCAAACTTCATTTCATACTTGTATCTTAATGGTAAAATCATTTTCTCTCTAGGCCTTATCGGGTTTTCAACAGACCATAGCAAGAACATATTAGAATCGAATAAGGACCCTTGAATAGATATACTTTTGTAGGTCTACGACTATTAGTTCGATGAGTTACAAACGATATAAAAAAAATCTATATATTCACCATATGTTTTGATAGTGGATATCAAAGAGACTAGTCCACATATTACCCAATTGACTATATAGTCCATTCGGTATTAAAAAGACTAGTCCATTGTCAATAGACTAGTCCATAGACTACAAATTCCGTACAATAGTCCAGAAACTAGACCATAGACTAAATAGTTCATTCACTAGTCAATAGACTAGTACATAGTTTATTGACTGGTATATGAACTAATCTGTTGGATAGTATATAGACTAGTCTATTGACTAGTCTATAGATTCGTTTATTGGCTAGTCCATAGACTAGTCCACAGACTAGTTAATAGGCTAGTCGATAGACCATTCAATAAACTAGCCCATCAATTATCCAATAGACTAATCAATATACTAGTCCGCATAGTATTTAATAGTCAAGTACATAGACTAGTTAATATACTAGTCAATAGATTAGTCCATAGAATAGTCAATAAACTAGTCAACAGACTTATGGAGAACTCAACAGAGAAGATTGTGATAGCGTTCCTAAAGGTCGAATATAAAATGAAATAAATATTCTGTCAGAAATATCACTGATCTATAAACATTTTGCACTCAACTATCTAAGTCAAGATAAGATCAGAAAAATCTACATTGCTTAAACACTAAATGATCTGTATCTAAGACCTTAAAAATGAAAAAAAAAAAACCTATGCCTGATCGTGTTCTGATAGTGCCGAATAATCTTTATGTTGTTTGCTCGGTAATTAGGTATCGAATGCAATTATCAGCCAGACAATTGGCGCTTAAAAACCATATTACTATTCTGTATTGCATTCAAAGATACATACATTTATTTCTGACTAACTATTTGTAATTTTCAATTTAAATCCGGTTTAATTTGGATTATAAGCAACATTTTAAATATGAAATTTTCGATTTATATTTTGATTAAAATCTTACAATGTTTTTCCACCATATGGTGACATTGTTTAGACTGTCTGGCATAAAATTGATAAGTTATTATCAGTTATAGACATACATAGTTTTAAAACTTATTTAAGTTGCGTCTTGAAATTGTTTTAACAAATTTTGAGTTACCGACTCATTCTGCATGAAATTCGGTAGGAAGATTTACGTCCCTTTAAATTTTCCTTAAATCGAATTTCATTACTGTAAGCAATGAACGTTATTGTACTTTTCTTAAGGGGCCCTTATGTAGAGGGTTGGGTAAATTATGAACTGATCGTCATAAAATTCAGTAGAGAGATTTTGGCTCGTAAGAAACTATAAGGATTTTCATCGCTAAACTCATATTATAGGGGGTAGGATCAATTATAGACCGATCATCCATATATACTTGTATTTTTATAGTTATGACTGTTAAAGCTGTTTTTCTAGGGGCTATGCGAAAACGTGTACCGATATTGCGCATTTGCAATACCAAACTTACCTTGACTATGCGTAAAATGTTAACCCTCTAGCTCTTTCCGTTCGGACTCTATCGTATTTTTAACAGACAGACGGACGGACATGGCTAGATCTTCGTAGAATTTAATAAGGACCCTGATATATACTTTTATGGGTCTATGACCAATATTGCGATGTATTCAAACGGAATGAGAAAAATAATATACCCCCATTGGTGGGTCTAAAACTTCCAATCGAACAGTAAACAAACATGAGTTTCTTTTGAAAAGAAAGCAAGGGGAATGGAATTCGATGATCAGTGAACTTCGTGTGGAGATATTGTTAGGTTCGATTAGCACAGATAGTTGTCTGTCATTCTGTGATTTCATTATTATGGCATGAAACTGGAATCCTGATAAATAGTGACGTATATTGGACTACAAAATATATCTCTAGTTGCTGTTACTGAAATCTCGCCCTGGCGTGAAATGCAGTAGAGTAAACTTTCATGAGTACATGTACCACAGAGATACATTCAGATATATAATTTGAATGATTGTCATGAACAAAAATATCAACCTGAGTGTTCTTTGCAATTCAGACTTGGACCATGATGAGTCGATTCTAGCTCACTCTATGATTAAAAAAGATCTCTGTGGATTAATGCCTATACTCGTTCTATTTTGGCATTAGAAACTTTGATTTTTGTTCTAAATTGTCACCTTCGAAACTGGTTCTATGGAAGGAGTAATCCTAACCCAGTTCTTAAATCAATATTTGTTCGAATTTGTCACTCTTGTAATTAGTTCTAGGGAATTTTTAGAGAACATATAGTCCTCTATCGGGCCTGTTGTGCGCATCATAACCAGTGCCTCAGGTGTGCATTGAACCCTCTACCTCCGGTCTACCAGACTAGAACACTAACCACTAACCTACCCTATGCCACAGAGAACATATACATCTAATTTAGAACAGTTTTGGAACTACATACATAGTTCATTTTTTAGCGAATTTTGATTAAATTATTTGCCATATTTGAGACGTTATCATAAAATTTGACCCAATTTAGGACACGATATCTCGAAAACCTAATCTTTAGAAAAGCATAACATCTGTTTATATTCGTTCTTGAACTAGTTCATTTAGAACAGAAAAATTTCAAAAAATTTTACCGGATTGAATATTTTTTAAAGAAAATTTTTAAAATTACTTTTCTATAGTGTTTTTTTAACGGTTTTTGATTAAAAACTCATGATTTTGTTTTGATTTTCAACAATTTTCACAACAAAAAAAAAACAACATTTATAATTTTTTTAAAATATTTAAGGTATTTTAATATTTTAAAACATTTTTCGATGTAAATAGTTTATTTTGTTAAAAAATTTCTATAAATTTTTTTATGTTTTATAAAAAAAATTTTGTATTCCGCACATTTTTTCCATCAACTTGTGACAAACTTTTTCCATCTATGCTGCGTATTGTTTATATTTTTTCAATATTTTTTTTTTATTTTCAGACAGTTGAAGTACAAAAAAGCATACGCGCATTTAATAAATTTATAAAATTTCATCATTTAACTGGGAAATAAATTTAAAAACAAAATGCTGTTTTGTTTTTAAAACAAACTCAAAAAACCTAGCTGTTCTAAATTTTTAGAACACTTATTAAAACCCCGCTCTGACTCTTTACCAACAGCTCTTTGTTTAATGTTATTTTTTTATAAAAATAATTTTTTGTTATTTATTTTTTTCTGTTTTCTAAATTAATTGATAAACAAATAAATGCACATGCCAACAATAATATTTAATTTTTTTTTATAATTTTTAAAATTTTTTTAAATTAATAAAAAATAGAAAAATTTATAAAAAGTCGTTTAAATAAATTTGTTTACTAACACTTAATAGTAAAGAATAAGGAATTAGTATATTTTATTTAGAACACCCGGAAAACAACAAATTTAGTACTAAAGCTCTTTAAAATTGTTTTTTTTTTTACAGAATTGTCTAAAAGAGGAGGCAGACGCAACCAAGAGTAAATAAAGAGGATCGTAGGCAACAATAAGATTTAAACTAAATTAATAACAAAAACACACACTTGACAAGCTGTCTGGAGATAGACAACGCAAAATAAGCCACCGACATTACCGATGTCCCCCTCGTAAAACCTCAATATATACACTAATACTTAAGACCAGTAGTACATAAAACATAAATTGTTTGGTTGTTGTTGCTAAATAAAATAATAAATTAATAGAAAAAAAAAAGATTTTTAGCAACAAATAAATTTGCTAAAATGAATAAATAAAGAAATTTATATAAAAAAATTAACACTCTTAGCAGCAAGTCTTTAAAAAAAGCATAAATTGTAGAGAGAATTTGTTTAGAAAATGTACCAGAAAAATGTACTAAAAACAACAACAATTCTAAAGGGAGAATATTTACTATTTTCAACATGCGGTTAAACAAACTCACAGATATTCGAATTCACTCACATATTGTGTCACATAGATACTCCTCACTTTACTTACACTCCCGCAACTATGCTTTGCCAATTGATGACGAAGATCGCACGAGCATCTTATGCTTAGTCGTACATTCGTGTGGCTCTCGTTGTTTACTGCTATTAACATTTGTTGTTGTTTATTTCTTTAAATGTTTAAGAGTGTGTGTGTGTAGGGGCGAGTGTAAAGACACTTTCTGCGAGCCCAAAAACCTATAGATAGAGGCCGCATGCAGTCAAATAATTCAGTTATTGCCGTAACTTGGAGCTGTTAAGACGTATTAAATTCTTATATTTAAAAAGAATCAGAAAAAATTATAGAAAATATATAAAGAAATCTCTTAAATACGAAGTGTTTTTTTCAGTATAAGTAATACATAAAAAAGAAGTCAAAAAAATCTCATAAAAAATAGCATTTAAAGCAGAAGAAGAAGAAATTAAAAGAAACTGTGCAGAATTACAAAAAAATATATATATTTTTTTGTATATATAGGAAAAAACATTTATTATTTCATTGGTGCGGTTAAGTTTTATTAAAAAAAAAACCAGTGGATTTAAGTTCAAAAAAGTGCTGTAGTAAAAAAACACACATTTTGAGTCCAAAATTGAAGTGTGTGAGAAAGTTCTAGAAGAAGCAAAAGTTTCAAGTTTTTTTTAATTAATTACTAGTGAAATTATTATTTTTTTGAAATAGTAAACATGACTACCAAAATGGCTATTAATGCTAAGGTAAGGTTTAAAAAATTCTAGGTTTTAAAAGAAAAATTAAACCGGAAATTTATGCCATAATGTTAGGACAAACAAGATTTCAATAGCAGGAGTAAATAAATTAATTAAAAAGGGGTTTAATAAAGAAAATATTAAAGCAGAAAACTTTTTTACTTTAATAAATTTTTAAAAATGATAAAATTGCTTTTAAATAAGGAAATTTTGAAATAGATTTCAAATAAATTTATTAAAAGAAAAGTTTTTTTGAAACAAATTTTAACTTTTCATTGAAAAAATTAGGATAAAAAGGATTAGGATAAAAAACAAAATATTTTAAAAAAATTATTAATAATTTACTACATTTTGTCTAAAATTAAAGACAAATTAAACAAAAATTTTCTTTAATTTTAAATAAAGTGAAAAAAAATCATAACAAAATCGAATGAATTTTAAAGATTTGTAATAGATTTAAAAAAAAATTATATCAAAATTGAATTTTTATTAAAATTTTCTTGCTAAATTGATTTTAAAATCTTTTTCTAAAAGAAAATTTTATAAAATTCTTTATTTCAAAAACATTTCGATTTTCAAAATATGTTGTTTACAACTTGAAAAAAAGTTTTTAAACTTTTTGTAAACAAAATCGTTTGTCCGCCTAAATTCTGGCGCCAAATTGTGATAAACATATTGTTGATAATAAATTTTACAACAAAATATTAAAATTTTATTAAATTTAAAATCAAAAATATTATTATTTTTAACATCAGACAATTTAGAAACATTTTGTAAACAAAAATATTTGAACACCTTAATTATAACAAATATTTTGGCGGCAAAATATTGAGACTTTGAAATTTTAAAGAAATTGTTAAAAATTAATCAAATTTTTAGGTTTAAACCTTAATATAGATTTTTAAACAACTTTCTCACTATCACAAAATCGTTATCTAATGAATTTTTCACATATAGAGATCAATTCAATCCTATTTGGAATGTACTCGAGGATTGAACAGGAATTATTAAGTCAAATAATAAATATTTTATTTTAGAATTATATTTCTACCAAAAAACGGCGTTTTTTCAAAAACGATACCCCTTTACAAAACTTGTATAGTTTAAATGATAATTAACATAATGTAAACACTTAATATGTTTAGCAACATGTTGCTCTTAATGGAAATAATGAATATTTAATATAAAAATTTATTATAATTCTACCTAAAACCGCCGTTTTTCCAAAAAAGAAACCCCTTTAGAACTCTATTATAGTTAAAATTGAGAAATAATAAATAATGTAAACATTAATATGTTTAGCAACATGTTGCTCTCAATTAAAATAATGAATATTTAATATAAAAAAATATTATAATTCCACAAATTTAAAGAAAATTTCCTTATGGCACCATTAGTGTAGTTTTATCATAGAAATATTGTTATTTAAACTTTGCAATTGTTAAGCAACATGTTGCTATTGCTGTAAAGTTTTAAAAATAATAAAATTTTAATTGAAATACAATAAGTTCGTTAAAAAAAACTCTTTAAATTTCCTTATGGGGAAGCATTTATATCGTTAAATCTTAGAAATAATGTCTTGAAAACATTTCCTTTGCTTAGAAACATGTTTATATTGTTGTGTAAACATTAGAATTGCTTAACAACATGTTGCTGTAGCTTTAAAATTGTTTAATTAAAAAAAATCACATTTAATAAAACTTTAGTTTAAATACAATATTTTTTTAAGGAAAATATATTCAAAAACATTTCATTTTCTTGACAACTTGTTGCTAAGAGAAAAAGCAAATGTTTAGAAAAACTTAGCAGACAATGAACATTTTTAATCTTTGCTAAATTTAAAGAGATTTTGTTTACAAAACATTAACATTTTCTGAAGTCCCTCGATTACAAATTTCATAAATTTTCCTAAAATTAAAAAAAACTCATAAAAATCGAATTAAAAGTTAATAAAGCATTCTCATTCCATTTCGCCTAAGACCCCTTGATGTTGTGTCAAATATTAGAAAAACGCCTAATATATCAAATAAAAAGTGAAAAACAAAAGAATCCCATGATTTTTCTTAAAAAGAAAACAAAGAAAATACTCAATTTTTCCATAAAAAACAATAAAATTTGTTTATTTTTAGCAAAAAAGTATTGACGTCAACAAATTTTTTTTGTTTCTTAAAAATCAACCCCCAACTTCTTATCTGCAAAAAAATTTTGCAAAAATCTACTTTTGTTGTCATCTGCTTTAAATAAAAAATAAATTATAAATATTTTATAAAAATTGTTTTTTAAATAATTTTTAAAATTCTTTAAATATTTGTTCATATTAAATAACTCAACTAGTGAAAAAAATTATATTACCTAAAAGGTGAAAAGCTAATGAACTTTAACTTTTTTGAAAATATTTTGAAAAAAAATAAAATTTTAAAATGTGAGAAAGTTAATTAAATGCTTAATAAAAACCGAACCTCATTTTGCGCAAAAACGAATTTAAATACAAATTCGTAGTCAATAGTTTAAATTTGAAACGGTTGTTAGGCAAAAAAACTTTTCAACAAGGTCTGCAATTTTCGAGTATTTAACATTTAGCTGAAAAAAGTAATAAATATGTTTATTTTATAAACAAAATTTATGTTAATTTAAATTTAAAGAAAAAAACCGGTATTTGTTTAATTTAAACAATAGAAATCTAAGAAGAAGAGAAATAAACAAAAGAAAAACGTTTTAAGAAATTTGCTAAAAAAAAAGCAAAAGTAAATAAAGGCAAATTTTATAAAATTTCAAGTTCGTTGAATTTGCCAAAAAGTTTTATTATTCAATTATACTTTTTTTCGGGTTTCTTAAAGCTTTTTTTTAACTTTTTGAAGCATTTCTGTTTTTGATCTGTTGCTGAGTAAACATTTTATTTGTTTAACAACATGTTCCTAATGTTTATTTTATGACTTAATTAAGAAAATAATAATTGTTTAATAGAATTTTAATTTCAATTTAACTTTTTTTGAAAGCAAAAATATCTTTAAAAGAAACTGCTTAAGTATTCTAGACACAAACTATTATTCAATAAACAATTAATTTCCTTATATACATGTTGCTAATGTTTTAATGTTAACACAGTTAAGAAATTTATCAAGTTTTAATATAACTTAAGTTAAAAATATGAAAAAGGTTAAAAAAAAATATAAAAAAAACTGTTTAAAATTAGTAATAATGTTGTTTAAAAATTTAATTTCATTAGCAACATGTTGCTGTTTTGTTAATAAATCATAAATATTAGGCACTTCATAGGGAATTTATTGCCAAGCTAAAATGTTGAAGAAAAATATTCCTTACAGAACAGTTTTATAGTTTATACTTAAATCGAAATACCTTTAAAGTTTAAACACTTAATTTGTTGAGCAACATGTTGTTATTGATTTAATGATGACATATTTTTAAAAATAATTAAAATGCAATAGAATTTTTATACAAATTAAACAATTTTAAAGAAAAACTTTTGAAAGTGACCATTTAAGCAGTTTAAATCTCATAGTAATGTTGTATTAACATTTAATTTGTTTAACAACATGTTGCTATTGATTCAAAGATGACTTTTTCAATCAAATTCCAAAATATTTAAAAGAAAACTTGACAAGATTCCTTATAAAAAAACTTTTATGTAGTTAAAACATGCAAATATTGTGTGTGTAAATAATTAAGTTGATTTGCAACATGTTGCTATGATTACAATTTTAAAAATAAGCAATGTTTAAGACAATCTTTTTACTAATTTAAAAAATTGTCAATAAAAAAAACCTTTAAAATGTCTTAATGCAACCATGTGTGCAGTTTAATCAGGGAAATATTGCTGTTTAAACTTTTAAATAGCTTAGCAACATGTTGCTATTGCTTTAAAGTAGATATAATTTAAAAATAATAAATATTTATTAAAGTTTTTATTTAACTGTAACAATTTTACATAAAAAATTTTTAAAATTTGCATATGGACACATTTATGTTGTTGAATCTTGGAAATAAAGTTGTATAGTTTTCATTTGCTTAGCAACATGTTGATAAATAGTTAAAAGTAATAATTAATAGAAAGTGCATTTCCAAATTAACAAACTTTAGGCAAAAATGTAAAAATTATTCTATTTTTTAAGTTTAAACTTAGAAATATTGTTCTGTAAACATTTCCATTGCTTAGCAACATGTTGCTGTTACTTTGAAGTTAATAAATTTAAAAGAAATTCATAGTTTTTTAAAACTATAAATCAAATACAATAATTTTTTAAGTAAAACATTTCCTAAAGAGCCACTTAAGTATTATATAGTACAAATATTTGTGAGGCAACATTTCATCCTCTTGTCAACATGTTGCTAAGACTTTAATAAAGCAAATTTTTAGAAAATATTAATAAAATTAACTAAATTTTGTTTATAAGTAATAAAAATGTATAGATTTTATTTAAAAAGTCACCATCGTTTTTGTAATAAGCAACATATTGCTCATTAATACCTTCGCAACTTGTTGCTAACGCTTTAAATGAAGAAAATCTTTTAAAAAATGTCCCTAATGAGAAAAAATGGAATATTTTATTAAAAAAGAATCACACGATCTAATTGTGTGACATTTATTGTAATAAGCAATATGTTGTTCCAGACATACAACCTGAGTTGCCAAGCAAAAATTATTAATTTCATAATAATGTGTTTTTCAATAATTTTAATCCACAAGTATTGAATAATTATAGAATATTAATCCCTTCTTTTTGTATTTCCGCTGCAATTTAGGGTGTGTTTTTTTATAAAATTAACATTTTCTTTAAAATGAAAACAAAACGTGCCCTTATTTTTGCATTAAATAATAACTAATTAAGCATTGTAATTGTAAGGCATATTAATAATTTGGTTTAATCTAATATTTTTTTTATAATAATTTATGTGCATAAACTTTGATTTAATTCATAGAAAAAAAAAACTAAAACTAGTGCAATTTAGAAATTATGCAAACAAACAACATGTTTATTTAAAAAATAAAGTGGAATATTTTTCAATAACATTTTAAAAAAAATTCCAATAAGCAATAATAAAATTTAAAATTTTTTTAAAAGCCCAAGAAAATTTTTTTAAAAATATTTGATATATTTACTGTTTGATATTGATTATTAATTTGCCCTCTCGGGCTTGCAAAAATTGCCGTAGTGGACGGTATTTCACGTCCCCATGGCGGGGTATTGGTTAAAGTTTTCAACTAGCAATAATCGCACCTCAGTAGAACTTCATTGGTTACGATATCGCCTCTGCGCAAAGCTAACTTTACCAGGTCAATACTTAACTATACATACTATATTTAACATAAACAAAATGGGAATTATAAACGAAAAGAAAGTAAGAAAATATATTTGAAAAAAGTAAACCACCACATTTCTATAATACTTTCAATGAAGGTTTGTAAAAATTTTCAAAGACCCAAAAGGGGTTGTTTTTTTTTGTCTTAGAATATGCGCGTACATTGCACTTTTTAAATTGTACAACATGCAGTTTTTGTAGTTGATTCTATAAACTAGTTTTTGTCTGTTTTGTCTTTTATTCTCTTGCACATTTTGTTTTTATTTAGTAGAAATATTTGCCTCTAATACAAAAAGATAACCCAATAGTTCGGGGTCCCCAAGTTTCTAAAACTCTACCGGCAATTCTAGTTACATTACTAATCCTTAATTACCTATAAAAAAAATTTAGGAAATATATTATTTTTGTTTAAAATTTGTTTACTACTACTATTAAACATCAAAAAAAGTTTCAACTGTTTACTCTCTAGATTACTTGGGTATACTAAAGTGACATTTTACTCTAAAATTAACTTATTAAAGATGACTAAACCATTGATCTATTTTGGATTTTATTGTTCAAAATATATAAAAAATATTAAATTGTTGAGAAGTCAACTAACAATTTGTGGGCTTGAAGGTATACATAGCCTGTTTAAGAACTGCAGGGCATATTATTTGTATTTTCCTCTTTCTACCTTATTTAAAGAGCAATAACTTTGTTTTTATGAATGAATTTTTCAAGTACTTTATATTAACTGTTAAAATATCTTAATTGTTTGTTTACTATTATTCATTTTTGCAAGATAAGATTATGATAATTAATTTAAAAAATTTACTACAGTTGTTTAAGTATAAAGTCAAGCTGTCTGCCGTGGCTGGAGGTTTTAATCATAAAATAAAGGAAAAACTCTTCATTAACTTAATTAAATCAAATTAAATCAAATAAAATCATTTAAACTTATTTATACATCATTTCTATAATTCTTTACATTGTTTACATGACTATAATGTCATTCCTTATATTATTGTTTAATTTGTTTACACATTTGTTTACATATTTCTACAATTCATACTTTTGCTAACATTTTGAATTTAGTATATTTTTGTTTTAATGTAAAATTTTTTACATATTTTACCTAATGTCAACAATGTCAAGAATGTAAATTTTTAAATTTTTTACTAAATTTTTTTATGGAAAACTTAAATTTACAATTAATTGATATTTTTCTTATATTGAGTCATTTGTTTACTTATTTTACCTTATGTAAACAATATAAAATATTAAAAATTTGTATATGATCAGCCCAAAAACTTAGATATCTTTACTTTTTATACGTTTCTTCAATTGTTTACATGATGTCAATAATTATTTAACATGATTTGTTAACAAAATCAGAAAAACCAAAAGATTTTATTCATATTTTACTAATTTTACCTAATGTCATCTATGTAAAAAATATAAATTTTGTTAATTTTATAACAAAAATCAAGTTTTCTTTCATTTTCATAAATATTTTCAATTGTTTACATAATGTCAAAAATTATTTTACCTAATGTAAAATATGTAAAAATTCTTAATTTTGCTCAAAAATTAAAACATTTTATTAGTTTTCATAAAATATTAAATTTTTATCTCAGTTTACCTAATGTAAACAATGTAAAATATTGAAAATTTATACATTTCAACGTAAAAAAATAGTCTTCTTAGTAATTAATAGATTTTTTCAATTATTTTACATAATGTAAAATATGTAAAAAATTTTGTTTTTGTTAAAAAAAATTATTTTATTTTAATATTTTTCTTAAAATATGACATTTTTGCTTAAGATTACCTAATGTAAACCTAATGTATAAAAATGAAAATATATTCAATTTAACCTTAAAATTAATGTTCTTTGCATTTAATTGATTTTTTTTAATTGTCTACTTAAGGTAAAATATGTAAATAGTTCTAGAAAATTTTTGTAAAAATTATTATTTCTGTTAATTTATACAAAAAAACTTTAACCTTAGTTCAATTTTAAGGAAAATTCTAGTATTTCTAATCAATTTGTTTTACAATATCATTTTACACCAGGTAAATTATGTAAATAATTATTATCCAACAAAGAAATAAAAAAAACTATTTAACTAAAAACCAAATTCAAAAAAATTCTTTAATATGAAAAAGAAAAAATTGCAAAATATTTGCATTTTTTTTTTAAATTTTCTTTGATAAAAGTAAACGTTGGCGTAAAACACATTCAAATCCCGCCTTAACACATAATTAACGAACTTTACTCTAGCTTTTTTTTATAAAAAAGAAAAGTAATTTATTCATTATGTATTTATGTTATTACGTTGCCAATTAAAGTTCTTTATTTCTCACAAAAAAAGTAAAGGAATTAAAAAAACGTACAATGCACTTTAAATTTGTACTTCATTATCAATTTTCTATGTTACAACTTTGTTTGCATTGACAATTTTTTTTTCAATAATATTTAATTGTAATGATTAATAATTTTCAAAAACTTTCATCAGATGTTTAATATATTAAAAATATTCTTTAATGTCAACAAATGATAACCTGTTGACATTTACGTGTTATATGTTTTTTTTTTCAGAATACGTGAGTAAATTAAAGTAGTTTTCTGTTTGTAAAATGAAAAATCATTTAATTTAATACCAGTTTATCAGGACAATTAAAATTATCTCGCCAATTGTTCCAAATATTATAAAAAACCATATTTCATTGTTTACGTCACGAGTTAGTGAGTAAAAAACTAATTTACAAATAGTTTACTTGAGGTAAACTTTTAATTTTAGGATAAAGAAGCTTATTTTCTTTATATTAGTTATTGTTTACATTATGTCAACAATTATTTTACCTTATTTACAGAAATTTTAAATTCAAAATTCATAATTTTATTTAACATTACACAACTTTTATAGTTTTTTCTTAAAGTATCTCATTTTTGACATATTTTACATCATGTCAACAATGTAAACAATAAAATTTTTTATCTACTACTTCAATTTAACTTCAAAAAGTGCTTAAATGTAATTTTAATGGATTTTTATCAATTGTTTACACTATGTAAACAATGTATAAAATATGTAAACAATGTAAAAATCTTCATTAAACTTAACAGTAAACAAATAACAAGGTTTTTTTTGTCTAATACAACATTTTAGACATATTTTACACCATGTCAACAATGTAAAAAAATTTAATTTTTTACCTTTTAAGACAAATTTAACATTAAAAGAAAATTTTAATAATTTCTCTTAAAATTTTGCAATTTTTGGCATTATGTCAACAATGTAAAATTTGGGTAAATAATGCTTAAATCTTAATTTTACTTAACTGTAAACAAATTACATGGTTATTCTACCAAAAACAAGATTTTTGACATATTTTACAACATGTCAACAATGTAAAAAATACTTATTCTAGGTCAAATTAAACATTAAAAGAAAATTTTAATTAAACTTTAAAAAGATTTTTTGAATATTTTACTTTATGTCAAAAATGTAAAATTTAGGTAAACAATGTAAAAAAATTTGTTTTATTTAAAAATAAACAGATAAAGTGGTAGTTTTCGATAATATAACATTTTTGACATTTTTTACATTATGTCAACAATGTAAAACATTTATTTTTTTATATTTTGTAAAATATTTAATGTAAAATGGCTTTTGATGCTTAAAACTCAATTTTTGGAATTCTTTACATTAGGTAAATATTAATTTACTAGTGGGTAAACAATGTAATAAATTGAATTAAAGGCCAGTTAAAGCTTTTTGAAGTAAGAAATCTTAATTAGTTATAATTTAAGTTTGTTTATATAATGTCAACAATTAGTTTACACCATGTAAACAATGTAAAAATTGAGTTTATTGCAAAAATATTTAAAAAATTTCAACAGTTTATGTAAACAACTACAATGTAAACAATTTAGAAATTTACTTAGTATCAAGTAATTAATCAACAATTCTCTTAGTAAATTAATCTAAAACAAAATTACTTTAAAGATTAAAATTTACATTATGTAAATGTCAAAGTAAACATTAGTTGTAATCTATTAAATGTTAATAGTAATAGGATATGTTTAATCGATTAATAACAAACGAATAATTCGAACATTTCTCAAACACTAATATACAATTTTTGTAGAATTTCATCAGACTTTGTAAAAGAAAATTGCCATGTTGGTAAAATTTTGTACATTGAACTTAGTAAGTGGGGTAAGGTAAACAATTTACAGAATAAACATAGCAGTTCATAAAAAGAAAGCAAAAAAAATAAAGTAATTAAAACGGAACAAATGAAGGTTTATGGCATAAATTACTTGTAAATCACAATTGCATAAATATGTTTAAAGCAAAACTAATATTTCCCTTTTTTCCCCTGATTTTTTTTTTTTCAACAGGATATTTTCCGCAACCAACACCGTTTGATACGTTTTATCGAACAATCAATTCGATTATGCAGCAATCAATCCTTAAAGGCTGCCCAAGAGCAGCAACAGTTACAAAAACAACAATTGGAAACTGATTTTCAAATTACCAAATCTATGACTTCACAATTATCAAATGCTGTACCTGAACCCATTACACATGATGATGATGTTGGTCAACAATTCAGTGCCAGCCAATTGTCGGTACGTTTGGCTACACCCCAACAATTGCAACCTAAACCCGATTGTGATGAAGATTTGGGCTTTGGTAAACTCTTCACAGATCATATGTTGAAGATATACTATCACAAGAATTTGGGTGGCTGGCAAAAGCCTCAAATTACACCCTTGGAAAATCTTGTTATGCATCCCGCCGCCAAAGTATTGCACTATGCCGTTGAGGTAAGTTGAAACCGGGAGGGGTTAGAATAAAAAAATGTATATAAACGATAAGGGGAATTTTTAAACGTTTAACTGAGAAATTAAGAAAAATCTGGAAATCATTAAAATTATATAATAGGTTCCAAATAGCTTTCAAAAGTCAAAACCTTAAGTTTAGAAATTTATTCAAAATCTAGTATTTTATTATTCTTAATTAAAAACAAAAATTTCTTTCTTAATTAAAGTCAAAGGTCATTTGGAGACATCAGCAGTTATTCACACACAGACACGTTTAAATATACTTATTTTCAAATTATTTAATCTTTATTTCTTAACAACAACAATTTTGAAAAAAATATATTTTTGTTTTTTTTTCAAAAAAAGTTCAACATCTTACGAGTCAATTGACGTAATCTCGCTTTAGTTTAATTACAAGGAAAGAAACACGTGAATATGAAAAAAAAAAACGGTAAACAAAAATAAAATTAATAATAAAATTGTTGCTATTTGTTTAAATATTTGCAAAAAAAAATATTTCGCAAAACAAAGCCCCCTTTTTTTTAGCAAACAGTTGTTAGGGGCCTGCTGTTATCAGTTGTTTGTGATTTATTTGTTTATAGATTTCTCTTGCAAATAAATAATAGCATTTACACCTTGTTTGTTTTACCTTTAATAAATCTATTATTTAATTTAATTATTAATTAATTTTATTAAATTTATTTCTTTGTTTTTTTTTTAGCTTTTTGAGGGCATGAAAGCCTATCGTGGTGTTGATGGTAAAATTCGTATTTTCCGTCCCAACATGAACATGAATCGCATGAATGTCGCTGCCAAACGTTCCGGTTTACCCACATTCGAGGGTGAAGAATTCATTAAGTGTTTATCCCGCCTGATTTCTATTGATTCCGAATGGGTACCACACACAGAAGCTGCCAGTTTATACATTAGACCCACACTGATTGGTATTGATGTAAGTATTTTAGGAATTAAAACTTTCTGAATTTTTAACCAGATATTTAGTGAGGTTTTGTTTTAATTTCTTTAATGCTGGGACATTATTTTGAAGAATTTTTATTAACTTAAACTCTTTCGTTTAAGAGAATTTAACAAAAAGTACTTAATTTTAAAAAAAAAGTACCAAATTTTTCTAAAATACTTTATTTACACTAAAAATGCTATAAAATAGCTTTAGTGTATATTCCTGCCTAACTTTTTACCAAAAAATTGGAGATTTGCTTTAAATTTTAAGAAAAAGTACTTTTTACAAAAAGTACTTTGAAATGAATCTTTCTTATTATAAAGATATTATTTTTAAGTATTTTTCTTATAAAAACATTTTCATATAAGAAAATTTAGAAAAATTACTTAATTTTGAAGAATATTTTAACAAAAAATTGGTTATTTGCTACAAATTTTAAGAAAAAGTACTTTTTCCAAAAAGTACTTTGAAATTTTAATTAATCTTTCTTAATATAACGATATAATTTTTAAGTATTTTTCTAATAGAAACATTTACCTATAAGAAAATTTAGAAAAAAGTACTTAATTTTGAAGAAAACTTAAAAATGTTCATTAAAAAGCTTTAATTTTATTGAAAAAAAAACTTTATTTAATGAAAAGTACTTTTAACGAAAAGTACTTTTTTAATTGTAATTTTCTAATGTTGGGCCACTATTATGCCGCATTTTTATTACCCTAAACTCTTTAATTTAAGAGAATTAAGCAAAAGGTACGTAATTTTAAAAAAAGTACCAAAATTTTCAAAAAACGCATTATACTTAAAGAAAAACGCTCCTTAACGGTTTTTTTTTAAATAAATATTATTATTTATACTACTAGCTAATGTAATATTGAATATTTGCTACAGTTTTAATAAAAAAGTACTTTTTAAAAAAGTACCAAATATTTCAAATTTTCTAAAAAATTTCTTAAAACCTTCAAATATTAATTAAAAATTTTCTTTGTTAATAAAACACTGAAGAGAATTTGCAAAAGTTACATTTTAGCAAAAAGTACCTTTTTTTAAAAAAAAAGTACACAAATAATTTCCGACTTGTAAGTAATTTTGGAATAAAAGTACTTACTTAAAAAGGGAATAAAGTACTCTGTACTTATAAAATAATAATTCCATTTGATACTTTTTCCTTAACTTTAAAAAAGTCTAGAAAAAGTACCATTTCTCTTAGCAAAAAGTACCAAAAAGTTTACTTTTTTAAAAAGGTCCCAATTTCTTTAAAATTTTTAAACTTCTTTTGTTCTTAAAAGGTTTTTCTAATTTTAAATTTCTCTTCCTTTACAATTTTAGCCCACCTTGGGTGTTGCCTCCTCAGATTCCGCCTTATTGTACAGCATTCTCTCCCCCGTCGGTTGTTACTTTAAGAGTGATGATACCGGTGCTGTATCCCTGCTAGCCGATCCCAGTTACACAAGAGCCTGGCCAGGTGGTGTAGGTAATCGTAAAATGGGCTCAAATTATGCTCCCACGATTAATGTACAAAAAGAAGCCGCCGCCAAGGGTTTACAACAAGTTTTATGGTTATATGGTGATGATCATCAATTGACCGAAGTTGGTACCATGAACATTTTCATGTTCTACGTTAATGATCAAGGAGGTAAGTTTTAACTCTCTCTCTCTCTCTCTCTCAAAAGATCACTCTTTAATGTTATTTCTCTTTATGGCATTACAGAAAAAGAACTGATTACACCACCTTTGAATGGTTTAATTTTGCCTGGCATTACCAGAGATTCCATTTTAACCTTAGCCCGCCAATGGGGTAAATTCAAAGTAACCGAAGCCACCTTTACCATGCCACAACTCTGCGAGCTTTTGAATCAAGGAAGAGTAAGTTTAAGCAATCTTAAAAGAAAGAAATCTTACTAATAATTGTACTCTTTTTCTCTTTTTGCCTATAGTTGCTTGAATTATTCGGCACTGGTACCGCCTGTGTGGTCAGTCCCATTAATCGCATTAGCTATTTGGGTCAAAATCTCTACATCCCCACCATGGAACAAGAGAAACCTGTACACGAAACGATTCGTAAGACTTTAACTGACATTCAATACGGCAAAGTTGATCACCCCTGGTCTGTGGTTATCGATTAAAGTGTTTTTAAAGGTTAAAACTCTCCTTTAAAAATTTTTTAATTTAAACTTGTGTGTATTAGTAGTTTTAAAATAGCTCGATTTATATAATAAGTTTATAATATTAGTTCCCCACAAAAAAGTGTTTATTTCGTAAAGGTATCTCTCACTCTCTCTCTCTCTTGCTGCAAAATAACGCCCCAGCAAGAGAGCGATAGCTTGAAGGACCATTTGAAAACAACACTTTTTTGTGCTTAAAACCACCCCTCTCACAGCAGTTGATAGTTGTTTTTTGTGTTAATCTTTAGTTTAGTTTAACTTTAATTGTAAATTATTTTATAGGGTAAAGGAAATTAAGGCTTTGAGTGACTACTAGCTCGAATTTGTATAGTAAAAAGTTGCATTTATCTAAAAAAAAAAATCACAAAAAAAACTACAAACTTAATATTTAATTTCTAAGACAAAAAAACCCTAAAACAACTGTCTGTCTGTGTGTCTCCTTTATATTTAGTTTACAGAAAATCCCTTAAATATTTATTTATTTTATTAAGTGTAAATATAATCTTAAATTCTTCTCATTTTAATATTTTTTTTTGTTTTAAATAACACTTAATAACTTTGGAATTATTCATTATAATCAAACAAAATATTTATATACCATTTTATAAATTTAGTTTTTAAACTCAGGGGCTATAATTTGTACTCGTATGTAAATTTTGTTTTTGATTTTATTCCTTAATTTCATTATTGTTTAAATATTATTTTATATATATTTCTTTTGAGTTTCTTGTTGAAAAGAATTTTTTGTGTGAAATTATTTTCTAACGTACCGGAACAAGTGCATTTATTAGTTTTTAAGTTTATTTTCAACAAATATTGCTTTCGCTTTTAAATTTTCATTTTTTTTTTTTTTTTGTTTGTCTCAACTCATTTTAATTTCATAAAAAAATTTTGCTTTGCTGTAACAAAATTATTTTTATTTTTTGGTTTTACAAAATTCAAAATTATTATTAAATTGTTTTTTTTTTTATTTAAAAAAAAAATTAAATATTTAAGAGAATCTGTAAAATAGTTTTATAAAATAATGAAAGAAAAAAAAAAACAAAGAATTAGGAATTACAACAAGAAAACAAATTTAAAACAAATGAATTGAAAATAATAAATTTATTTTTCTAATTGAAAATTGATTTTTTCAAAACAGCAGTAAATCTTGTGTGTTTTATTTAATAACAAAAACGGTTGAAGGGGCCATGACAAAATCACAAATTTTGAATAGATTTCATGAGTATGAAGTCTAATCTAAAACTAAGACAATAGTCGAGTTTTTTAGTGGGGACTACTATGTAGTATATATTCAAGACGTTTATCCAGTCGTCTATAGTCTAGACTATAGAACATTCTATAACAGAGACTATAGTCTAGTCTACTATCGATTTATAGCCGATATTATAGTTCAGTTAACAGTCGAAACATCAGTCTAATATATACTAAACTAAACTCTAATTTAAAGTCGATATTTAAGTCTAGTCTATAGTCCTGACTACAGTTCTGTCGAGACTATATTTAGTCTAGTCTACAGCAAAGTCTAAAGTCAAGCTTATTGATGAGACTATAGTCAGTAATCAAGAATATAGTTCATTGTCACGACTGTATCCAAGCTTATAATTGAGACTATTGCCTAGTCCATAATCGAGATTATAGTTCACTCTATAATTAGGACTTTAGTCCACAGTAGTGACTTTAGTCCGGTCAACAGTTGGGACCATAGGCTATAATCGAGACTATAGTATATAATTGAGACAAAAGTATATAATAGAGACTACAATCTATAATCGAGACTACAGAATATAATCGAATCTATAGTTTATAGTAGAGACTGTAATCAACAATTAAAACTATAGTCTATAATCGAAAATATAGTCTATAATTGAGAGTCTAGTCTATAGTCTAGTCTATAGTCTAGTCTATAGTCTAGTCTATAGTCTAGTCTATAGTCTAGTCTATAGTCTAGTCTATAGTCTAGTCTATAGTCTAGTCTATAGTCTAGTCTATAGTCTAGTCTATAGTCTAGTCTATAGTCTAGTCTATAGTCTAGTCTATAGTCTAGTCTATAGTCTAGTCTATAGTCTAGTCTATAGTCTAGTCTATAGTCTAGTCTATAGTCTAGTCTATAGTCTAGTCTATAGTCTAGTCTATAGTCTAGTCTATAGTCTAGTCTATAGTCTAGTCTATAGTCTAGTCTATAGTCTAGTCTATAGTCTAGTCTATAGTCTAGTCTATAGTCTAGTCTATAGTCTAGTCTATAGTCTAGTCTAGTAGTCTATAGTCTAGTCTATAGTCTAGTCTATAGTCTAGTCTATAGTCTAGTCTATATAGTCTAGTCTATAGTCTAGTCTATAGTCTAGTCTATAGTCTAGTCTATAGTCTAGTCTATAGTCTAGTCTATAGTCTAGTCTATAGTCTAGTCTATAGTCTAGTCTATAGTCTAGTCTATAGTCTAGTCTATAGTCTAGTCTATAGTCTAGTCTATAGTCTAGTCTATAGTCTAGTCTATAGTCTAGTCTATAGTCTAGTCTATAGTCTAGTCTATAGTCTAGTCTATAGTCTAGTCTATAGTCTAGTCTATAGTCTAGTCTATAGTCTAGTCTATAGTCTAGTCTATAGTCTAGTCTATAGTCTAGTCTATAGTCTAGTCTATAGTCTAGTCTATAGTCTAGTCTATAGTCTAGTCTATAGTCTAGTCTATAGTCTAGTCTATAGTCTAGTCTATAGTCTAGTCTATAGTCTAGTCTATAGTCTAGTCTATAGTCTAGTCTATAGTCTAGTCTATAGTCTAGTCTATAGTCTAGTCTATAGTCTAGTCTATAGTCTAGTCTATAGTCTAGTCTATAGTCTAGTCTATAGTCTAGTCTATAGTCTAGTCTATAGTCTAGTCTATAGTCTAGTCTATAGTCTAGTCTATAGTCTAGTCTATAGTCTAGTCTATAGTCTAGTCTATAGTCTAGTCTATAGTCTAGTCTATAGTCTAGTCTATAGTCTAGTCTATAGTCTAGTCTATAGTCTAGTCTATAGTCTAGTCTATAGTCTAGTCTATAGTCTAGTCTATAGTCTAGTCTATAGTCTAGTCTATAGTCTAGTCTATAGTCTAGTCTATAGTCTAGTCTATAGTCTAGTCTATAGTCTAGTCTATAGTCTAGTCTATAGTCTAGTCTATAGTCTAGTCTATAGTCTAGTCTATAGTCTAGTCTATAGTCTAGTCTATAGTCTAGTCTATAGTCTAGTCTATAGTCTAGTCTATAGTCTAGTCTATAGTCTAGTCTATAGTCTAGTCTATAGTCTAGTCTATAGTCTAGTCTATAGTCTAGTCTATAGTCTAGTCTATAGTCTAGTCTATAGTCTAGTCTATAGTCTAGTCTATAGTCTAGTCTATAGTCTAGTCTATAGTCTATATTCTAGTCTGTAGTCTATCCTATCCGTTTAGTCCATAGTCTGGTATAGTCTTTTATCTAGACTATAGTCTCGTCTATATTCTAGGCCATAGTCTAGGCTATAGTCTATTCGATAGTTTAGTTGGCAGTCCAGACTATAGTCTAGAGGCGAGGCTATAGCTTAGGCCATATTCGAGGCTATAGAAGAGATTAGTCTATTAGTCAAGTTTAGTCTATAGCCTAGTATTTGACCGATTATTTTTTTAAGTTTGGCGTATAAATAGTGTTTTTTGTGATAATTATTTATTGATTTCAACAAGAATTGATTTCTTTTCGACAATTTAAACTTTGTGCACCCATTAATTCATTTAAATGTTTATTGCATTTTTATTATTAATTAGTTTTTATTACTTAAAAAAAAATTTGTAATTAATTTAAAACAGAAAAAGTGTATAAACTTTTTTTTTTAAAACTTGTTAAATAAAATTTCAAGATTTTAAATCTTAAA